TAATTACGAGATAAGGATAATTATAGCGTAATTACGAGATAATCATCGCGTAATTACGAGGAAATTATCGCGTAATTACGAGATAATCATTTTTATACAAACATTAATGGTATATTGGAATTATATCAAAAATATTGCAAATAATACATGCAAAAAACTTGCGATGCCATATTTAGGTAGTCAATGACAAAAATCAAGGCACCCCCTCCTCCTCGTTGGTAATGATAATAAATCCTCTTCCATTCTGACACTTTTTATATGTAAATGGGTCGTTTAGCACTTATTCGACCAACTGGATTTTACTAGTATATTGAATTGGTGCCTTAAAATATGTTAACAAGAGGTACAACCCTTGCTTTTGGGTACAAAAGTTGATAATCTTATCGACTTTTTTGTAAACGATATATACAGAGCGAAATTGGGTAAATGTCCCCTATAACAAGCTAATTCAAAAGTGTAATATAAGATAAAGATAAAGGAGTTTTCATAACCCGTTTTCTTTGCGCTGTAGCATTTATACATTTAACAAAGCAAAAAAGCTTCTTTTGTTACTGCAAAGGCTCCCACAACATGTTAATAAATTTCTAAAATATTGTTATATTTCTTCTTATTTCTTACGAAATTCGTATTTTGTTGACTATTTTCGCGATAAAGATAAATGAAATTTACCAAAAACAAAACAACATTCGGTTGAGGGGAGGGGAGGGGGCATATTATAATTATTACTTACAAGAAAGAGAGTAAAATAGTTATTATATCTCTTCTTATTGTACACATAAGAGTTCGAATCCTTGCTCCCTTCTGTTTTTCCTGGTGATCTTCGATAGGACTTAGTTTAAACAGGAACCAATGGCAGTTGTATTTTACTTCCTCCGAAATTCTTGTGCCAATTGAAAACAAACTTTCTATTTGGCAATAATAATAGTTTTATCCAGACACCGGTGACAAGCTCATGTGAGCCTCTGGTATACGATGTGTTTATGTCTATGATCACATATTAAAAATCTTGTAGATTTGGACACGCAAACACATGATGTAGTCAATCGGCTATAGTATATAGGCTTTTTAGATGTGTTTTACTGATATGATTTAATTCCTCGCTTCCTTTTTACGCAATTAATTTATAAAATCATCTTTTATGTTTTAATAAGTGGCCAATAACATAAATTATCTAACTTAAAAATTAATAAAAAAAAGAGCTTAAATTTCATTCAAATCGATTAATAAATACATCTTTTACTTTCTATAACAACCTTCTTACGACTATATATATATGTAATTTTATTTCGTAATTACGAGATAGTTTTCTCGTAATTACGCGATAATTATCTTGTAATTACGCGATAATTATCTCGTAATTACAAGATAAAATAATCTTAACTCGTAATTACGCGATAGTTTTCTCGTAATGACGCGATGATTATGTCGTAATTACGAGATAAAAAAATGATTATCTCGTAATTACGCGATAGTTTTCTCGTAATTACGCGATAATTATCTCGTAGTTACGCGATAGTCTTCTCGTAATTACGAAATATTTATCTTGTAATTACGAGATAATTTTTTTTTTGGTGACCCTACATGTAATAGGCTCTCGTACTTTCGTACTTTCGTATATATCAGAATAACACAAATATTTAAAACAATCAATTAACATTCTGAATTCCTACTTTCCAACTCTTCACTCCAGTCCAGTTTTATACATTATTCCATATTATATTGTATTTTTTTGTTTTTTGTTTTTGTATGCAGTTTGTATTTACACATGCATTCCTACTATGTTTTTCGTTATTATCTAATGTACTTTGTGTTTATATTTATATAGGGAGAGGACGTCAATAATGTTGTTATAACTTGTGTCCAATCCCTTTTGCTACTTTTGCAAATGAAATATGTTTAAACTGAAATAGATTGTTTGTAGTATAATATATTTTCATCCACTGTATCATCCCATTTCTCTTTTTAGGTTCCTAATGACATTAGATGAAACAGAACAGAATAATTGAAGGATACTACAACATAATAAATATTTTCTGATCTTCACACTTTTCCTCTAGATCGCAAGTTTATTCGACTTATATATGTATCTATGTTTGCCTGTAGCATGACACCTCAATAACCATAAAGAATATAGTTCACTGGGGTCTTTTCTAGAAAGTTAAAATACATTGATAAATGTACAAAATTGTATTAAGCTCTCCATGTTTCCTACTCATATTGTATTAATTATTTTGTACAAAATATTGATATTGGTGCTAAAAATGTGAAGTTCCAGCGTGAGCTTTTCTAATCTCTTGGCGTATGTCGTCCCTTTATTTTCTCATATTCACCATACTAGCCTCAGAACCTTCCTTACGATTTAAAGGATAAAAAAAATTTCGTTTAGTTTGGAAATTCAATGTAATCGCTCGAATTCCTTAGGCGAATTTAAATTAATTAAATTCTTTGGTTTTTAACATTTGTTTTGGGGGCCAGTTTCACAAAGCTGTCTTAGGACTAAGACATGTCTTAGGATGATCTTACGACACATCTTAGTCATAAGTGGGTTTCACAAAGTGGTCCTAAATTAGGACATCTCTTAAAGTTGGTCATAAAGATAGGACTACACGAGAGGTGAATTACGATGGTCTTATGATAGATATAAGTTAAGACATCGTTATGATGTCCTAACATGAGTTGTAAATAGATATGCCTCCTGTAGTTTTAATGCACCTCAGACGACGACAACAAAACATACGCAGAAATAGAATATTCATAGACCCTGACAATCCTTTGGATTACTTAGGTGATACAAAAAAAGTACTCACTGAGTTGTTCTTTTTCACGGCATCCAAAAGAGTTTGAAGCTCTGATTCTGGGAAATTGGGACTCCTTTTCCTGCTCATAACAAAATCTTTATAGGTTGACGGATTATCAAAATGATTTATAAACAATTTACATTCGATCTATTTATAGCAAGAATATACGATTTTATCCTTTAACCTTATTACAACCGATACAGTGACAAATTGAATTCATCTCAATTGTACAAAAACAATTGTCATAATTTTATTTTATTTTTTTACTCCATTTTGTATTTGAACTTTCATATTTATATTGGTGTATTTTTAATTATAGATTATTTATAAAACTTACACTTATTTTTTATATTAATTTTGCAAATTATCTAATTATGGAATATTAATCAATACGTTTAGTAATTTATGGGAAACACGTACTACATTAAAATTAATTTCTCCATAAATCCATGTTAAATTTAAAGAACTTGCGACAGGTTTGGGATATCTTTGCTAGGATCATCATAAGACAGCTTCGAGGCGAGGTCTGAGATATGTCCTAAGATAGTCATAAGAGGATCATAAGACATGTCATACAAATGTAAGATATATCTTATAACAGGTCTTAGGATAGCTTCGTGAAACCGGCCCCAAATTCGTAAGTTTTCATTGATTCGATAAAATCAAATAGACTTTATTTATAGACGACACGAAAAATAACAAATATATATAGGATGGTATCGAGCTATAAACCATTAACATGCATATACACTCAATGACAGCTGATATCATAATCAAAGAGAAGTACAATAAATGAAATAAAAACAGCGCAGTTACATCCTGTACATGCATATTATAATACAAAAGTAAATCAATAGTTTAATTTTTAAATTTTGAAATGCTCGATTAATCCTCGCATTAATATGAGCTAAACTAATTAGAAACAAGAATTGCCTCTGGCGACCACACATTCTTTGCCAAAATCATATTGCAATGATATTTTGTTATTCTTACCATTTATTATACCGGGTTAATTTAGTTCAGATTAGCCATAAACTTTCAGAGAAAAAAGTGAAAATGCGTGCTCCTTTATTGTTTAGTGGAACATGTGTGCCATTATAGGTGGCACGGTAGTATTTCCTGGCCCATAAGGGATAATGATAGCCTTTTTAGAATTTTTACCACTTTCTATCACTGCTAAAAATTCTACAGTCACTGTTAACTGAAGTACTTTCATTTTACTATTCAGAAATGAATTTGAATATGTATCATGACCGTTTACTTTTTTTGCTATCTTTAAGAACCTAAGGCCACAGTGCTTTTAGTTCTTTTATCGTGCAGTGAATACAAAATTTAAAAAAATTCTCAAAAATTCATTTTCATCTGTATGTAAAATTATTTCATATTATTCTACACCTGATTCATCCCTCAGTTTGGGAAAGTATGTTCAGTTGATACTGTATTTTTTGTCCAATCATAATGTTCCAATACATTGACTTAAGTAGGGTACACAAAAGAGCAACCTAAATTTTGGAATGCAAATACTACCGTGCTACCTAGAAACGACATGCACGCCATCATATCAACATGAAATATTTTTTTATAAAGGACCTCGCTATCAATACTCCTATAAAAGTTTCCGTAAATTCATGATACATTTTTGTTATAAATTTAATTCATGAATTTTTTCAAAATTTTCAATGGTTTTGATAATAATTTTGGAAGCGGAAAAAATTGCAAGGTCACTAATAAAAATTTACCATATTACAGAGCACAACCATAATTAACAAATTAGTCATGCAGATTATCATATTTACGACTTGTGTAGTGCATTTGCACCCGCCCATAGAAATATTTTAGGTGCGGTTTGTATGAATACATGTAGACACAAACTATACAATCTGATTAGGTATAAACCAATTTTCACAAGTTTATAAGTAACTATGGTAACAGCAACGTCTTCCCTACTGCAGTAAAACCGTGTCCAAATAGGCAATCGTTTAGCTCTGCATGTTAGAATTATTAAATTATAGAACGTTTTGGTAGAATGCTCAAGCTGTCTGCGAGTAAGAAAACCCACAAAGCACAACATAACAACTTCACGAAATTATCCGTAGGTGATCTATTGAGAGACAAATGTCCGACACTGTCCTTCTTAAAGTAGAAATGGATAAAAATAAACGAAGAAAAACTCCTTCAAGAGATAATGATTTTTAATTTATATTACAAAACCTTTAACAGTGCACCAGAAAACGAGGGATATCCATAAATCGGGTTGCTATAAAGATAGTCGCCAACGGCTTCATGCTGTACGTAAACATCATCACCAGCGGACAGCTGAAAAAGGAAAGATTTTGACGTGCATTCAGTGTAATGTTCATCACCAGCCAACACCTTCCCAACCACTGCGACGTTCACTGTAAGCTCTAGAACAATAGTATGGCTGCTATGAGAACATGCTGTTATGAAGAACAGGTAGATGCCCTTTACAGGGGCAATAAAGTTTCCATGAGCAAGATAGTAGGCGTTTCCAATATTTAGTTTAATGCTGTCGTAATAGATGTGGTGATTTTGACCAGTGAGGGTTTTTGTTTTTTCCACCAAAAAGGCAACTGCTGGGTGTCTTAGCAGAGCTGAAAAAGATAATGAAAAAACCCCTAATTACACAAGTGAAATATGTTGCTGCATGAAAACATCAATTTAACACTCTTTCAATTCTCTACATTATTTCATTACTATTTCATGAACTTGTACTGCTTACGAACTAGATATCTTTGGTAAAACCACTTTTAGCAACCTACATAATCATAATGGCTTCTTCTTTTTCACAATCATATGATATATAGCAATTGCTATATTATCTGCGTTTTATGTATATACTATATGTGCTACACAAAAACTGCTCCAACAGAGTTATAAGAAAGAACGACTGAAATCAATACTACATAAGTTTGACGGTCACCATCACTAAGGGGTTGACCGATACGATATGTCGTTGTCTCAACTCAGTGGTGACATTTTTTCGCGGTCTTAGATCTTTAGATACCAGTATAGTCGTCTGATCTGTTATTTTACCGATTATGACATTTTGACTGATTGTGAATTCGCATGGCGATTATACATGCATAGCAAGAGTTGCTTACCCTGTCGATGTACCCGGTCTCGCTCCTTTTGGAGTTCCTGTGAGTTCATGATTTCTCTTAGTCTTTGTTTGTTAACTTGATTTGTTTCTATCTAATCGATTTACGAGATTTGAACATCTGTCGCCTTAATTTATTTACAATAATTATTAGATTTCGTGGCCTAATTTCTACAAAATTAGCCTGAAGTGAAATTTAGCTCTAGGTCGAAGTCTTAACTGTAAAAATGAGACGAAGAAAGTAAAAAAGGCGCTGTTCTGTTGCTCTTTTTTTTTTAATGTGCGTGTAGTGATTTTGCGTCATGAAATGATATACCATATCCTTTCTTTTTGAATGTTATGAAATTTTGACAAAACTTCTTAAGATTAATCTGATAACATCTGATGCAAAATGTTGAAATTTGTTTTTTCATGTTTCATTATTTTACTTATAGATTAAACTGTGGAAACATCAATAACCTTTTTGAACATTCATGGAATATAACGATTTAAAGCTGACTTTACGGTTCGGGTTTTGCTCATTGTTGAATGCTGTACGGTGACTTGTAGTGTATTATTATCCCCGTCATTTGGACTTGTGTAGATGTCTCATTGGCGATCTTACCACATCTTCGTATGTTATACCTATTAAATAAAAATGAACATTTCGGTAATGTGTATGTAGCCGTCAGGAACCTCATCAGTTGTTTTCTTTTGTCGTATTGCAATGTTTTTTTTGGCAATTTGGTTTTGATGGTAGATCTTTGATAGTCTCTATAAAATTTATTCAAAATGCTTTCGACTCCGGGGTGGAAGGGGGGGGGGGGGGGGTTCGAAATTGTCATAATATAAAGGCATTTGTCAAGCTTTGGAAAAAATGTATGGTGACCAAATTGAATACTTCTTTTTGGTTTTTTGAATGTGTCATCGGATTGTTGTTGCTGTCTCATTTTTGCATACCCCATGTCTCTTTTTATCCATATCTAACATGCTACTTACAATTCTCTTTCTTGAGAGCCTCGACTTCATTCTTAAGAGCTCCAACGTCATTCGTGAGATTGTTCAGTCTATTGATAATGGTTCGGTAGTCATCATCCAATAAAAGTCTTTTTGAAAATGTTCGATCATTTTCCTGATAATGGCCACTAACAGTATTAACGGCACAAACTACAGTGACCGACACAGTAAATAGACATATCAATTCTGCAATGATTGCCATGTTGCAGAAAACGCCCATATTTGAACAGATATTCGTCAATCTGTGTAAACCATAAATAATCAGCGATAAAATTGCAAGTGCAGTCACCTCAGATATATATAGAAGCCAAACTAAATGATAAGATCGTCGGTTAATTCGGTCATATGGCTTGGGAGTCTCCCTATCTCTAGGGACAAAAAAGAGTTCGTTCTTTAGTATAAAGCTGTTTTTGATTGTTTTCTTTAATAAACAGTACACTTTTTGTTCATGTGAAATTGGTTTAAAAAAGTTATGTGATCTTATAGAGATTTACGGAAAAAATGAAAATGATTATAGTAAACTTACATAATTGCAAATCTGGTATGAAATATATCATGTGCCCCTCCTAATGCAGAAGTATTCTGTTACTGTTATGAATCCCAATTCATATATATGACAAAGCCTCATAGATTCGGACGCAACGAAACACTATTTGGTAGGTATTGTAGCAATACAAGCAGATATTTAGATGATAAATAAATTCTCTAAACAATCTAGATTTTTCTTAATATACGAATAAAATTTATCATCCTGAATTATAGAGACAAATGGCCTTTTTCAACCACGATATTATAATTTCATATGGTAGTATTCATTCCTAAATATGCGATGAACGGGACGAATTTTCGTTTCCTAGTTTTCATTTTCCTTTCCTTTATAGTAATAGACCGCTAGCTCATTCTTATGGAGTGCACATTTCTTTTTTGGCTTGATATGCGCATGTTTGTAATGAACGTAACATTACATGGTTGTATTATACAAAAAGCCTAGAAAATTAGGAACTGTCATTCAAGTCTATTTCCTTGGTTAAATACAAACTGAAAAAGGTTTTAATTATTCTTTTGTTGCTAAATTTTGTTCCATTTCGACAATATGTACTTAGAATTCATCGGTATGCAGTACAGATGGTTAATACAATGGTTTAAAAATAGCTCTCATCATAATGCATTCGTAAATTCGTTAAAATTTTCGATGCGTACCGAAAAATGAAAACCTTTGCTAACCATGGGAGTTTAAATTTCACAAATGTCTAATTACGGAATGGGAGTTTCTTATGTCTCATTGATAATCATGCAACATCGCCTCATTTCTAAATCTATAATATTCAGCTTTATGGACTATTGCAATGTATTATTACACTGCAATTTTTATACGACCGCAAAACATTTTTTGTGGTCGTATATTGGTATGACGTTGGCGTCGTCGTCGTTGTTGTCGTCGTCGTCGTCGTCCGGCGTCGTCCGAAGACACATTGGTTTTCGCACTCTAACTTTATTTTAAGTGAATGGATCTCTATGAAATTTTACCACAAGGTTCAATACCACAAAAGGAAGGTTGGGATTGATTTTGGGGGTTATGGTACCAACAGTAAAGGAATTAGGGGCCAAAAATAAGCATGTTTGTAACTTCCAGACATACCTTGTGTGTTAGTGTATGGATCTCTCTGACATTGTACCACAAGGTTCCATATCACAAAAGGAATGCTTGGATTGATGTTGGGGGTAATTGCCTCCAAATTTTAGGAATTAGGGGCAAAAAAGGGGCCAAAAAACAAGCATTTTTCTAGTTTCATGACAATTACTTGTGTGTAAGTGTATGGATCTTTCTGAAATTGTACTACAAGGTTCCATATCACAAAGGGAAAGCTGGAATTGAGTTTGGGGGTAATTGCCTAAATGTTTAGGAATTGGGGGCCAAAAAGGGGCCAAAAATAAGCATTTTTGTAACTTCCAGACATAACTTGTGTGTTAGTGTATGGATCTCTCTGACATTGTACCACAAGGTTCCATATCACAAAAGGAAGGCTGGGATTGATGATGGGGGTAATTGCCTCAATATTTTAGGAATTAGGGGCCAAAAAGGGGCCAAAAAACACTTTTTTTCTAGTTTCCAGACAATAACTTGTGTTCAAGTGTATGGATCTCTCTGAAATTGTACTCCAAGGTTCCATACCACAAAGGGAAGGCTGGGATTGAGTTTGGGGTGATGAATCATAAGGGGGTTCAAAAAACTTGGGGGGGGGGATTGTTTTTTTTTTCTTTTTTTTTTCTTAAAATTTTCCATTTTAAGTTGGTTATTTCTGATTTATATTTAAAAGCAAATAATAATGATATGGTAGGAGATACACACCAAACAGGATGTGTAAATTATTATATAATAAGTATTGTGCAATAGCAAGAAATTTTCAATTGCACAGTATTGCACAATAGCAAGAAATCTTCAATTGCACAGTATTGCGCAATAGCAAGAAATCTTCAATTGCACAGTATTGCGCAATAGCAAGAAATATCCAATAGCACAATATTGCGCAATAGCAAGAAATTGTCAATTGTACAGTATTGCGCAATAGCAAGAAATATTTAATTGCACAGTATTGTGCAAAAGAAGATACTTCGTATAAATTGCTTATTTCTTGACCAATTTCAATGGGGTTTTATTCTTGAATTCTTGGGGTTCTTTAATATGCTGAATCTAACCGTGTATTTAGTTTTTGGATTTTGGGCCCCGTTTTTAAATTGGTCCAAAGGGTCCAAAATTAAACTTTGTTTGATTTCATCAAAAATTGAATTATTGGGGTTCTTTGATATGCCGAATCTAACCGTGGATTTAGATTCTTAATTTTTGGTTCCGTTTTCAAATTGGTCTACATTAAGGTCCAATGGGTCCAAAATTAAACTTAGTTTGATTTTAACAAAAATTGAATTCTTAGGGTTCTTTGATATGCTGAATCTAAACATGTATTTAGATTTTTGATTATGGGCCCAGTTTTCAAGTTGGTCCAAATCGGGGTCCAAAATTAAACTTTGTTTGATTTCAACAAAAATTGAATATATGGGGTTCTTTGATATGCTGAATCTAACCATGTATTTAGATTTTTGATTTTTGGGCCCCGTTATCAACTTTGTCCACATTGAGGTCAAAAGGGTCCAAAATTAAACTTTGTTTGATTTCATCAAAAATTGAATTTTTGGGGTTCTTTGATATGCTGAATCTAACCATGTATTTAGATTTTGGATATTGGACCATAATAGGTGAATGCCCAATTTAAAATTTTTAAGTTCTTAGACCACATTCATTCTGTGTCAGAAACCTATGCTGTGTCAAATATTTAATCACAATCCAAATGCAAAGCTGTATCAAGCTTGAATGTTGGGTCCATACTTGCCCCAACTGTTCAGGGTTCGACCTCTGCGGTCGTATCAAGCTGCGCCCTGCGGAGCATTTTATTTTTACCTAGCTCTGTTCAAAATAAGAATTTTAGAAGTATCATGCTCTAAATAAAACATTGACTGTCAGGAATATTCTTGATAGGCTCATTGTGGTAAAAGGAAGTATGAACTCCGTGAACAGGTTGTATAACGGTTCCAATTTCTCCAATCCTTGTAGTCGATGCGATTATCTATTCAGATTTAAAAAGCTCTTAAAAGGACACTGGAAAACGAAGGAAGTCAGTGACCCGGATAGCTTAGTAGATAATCACCAGTTATTTTATGCTGAACAAAGACGTCATCGTCGGTTGAAAGGTGTTGCAGAAAAGTCCTGGAACTGCATATATTATAAGCTGTGTTGCCAGCCAACACCTTCCCAATCACAGCGGAGTTTACAGTAAGTTCAAGAACTACGTAATGATTCGTATGCGAACAGGTAGAGAACGTTGACAGGGACGATGAAGTTCCCATGAGACAGATAATAGGAATTCCCAAGGTTAAATTTTACGAGATCGAAATGGATTTGCTCTTCGTCAGTTCCGCAACAAAGGCAATCGGAGAATATCTCAGCAAAGCTACAAAAGATTATGAAAATTTCGATTTAACAATTTCTAGAGTGTGTATTTCACACTAGAACCATTTTCATAAGTCTTCTAATCTTTACTTTAATTCATGATATCATAGCTCCACTAGTACTACTTGTGTACTTTAATGCTCTAAGAATAGTATGGCTTATTTTTAAATAGATCACCAGATCATAACTGCTTGAAGATAATAGCACAAAACCGCACTTCTGACAGATTTTGACAAAGGAGGGGGTATGATAAGAGCCATTGATTATTTGGCCCCTGAAATTGCAAAAACAGTAGCATTTCCCAAGACTTTTACATTTATGTTGAATTTGTTGATGAATGAACAGGTTAATATTATCTGTAGTGTCACTGTAATGTCATAAAAATGTTGAAATTGACATATTTGACATAAGATATACAAAGACAGAACACCATAGTTCTTGATTTATGATATGTTTGCTTTTCAAATTCAAGGGACCCACAGAGTGGCATAACCATACCTTCTCCTTTAGAGTGTTCATACAAAATTTTATATGAAGGACATCATTAACCAAAACCAAATTTATGTTGCTAATGTATTTCGGTTACAAATTAATAAATTTAGGTTTGCGACGTCCTCCGATGCAAAATTTTACAAAAACATATGTTTATGGCATTTTGATAAATTATCAAAATGCTATAAACAGTTACACGAAGCTGTGAATAAAATTTTGATTGGACGGAAATTTGTAAAATAGTTAAAAACGGTTTCAAGTTATATGATTTAGCCTTTTAAATATTTTTTTTTTATATTCTGACAATTTGAGTGAAACAATAACCGGGGAATTTGTCTCTACTTTTTTAATTTTCCGGCAGAAACCTTTCTTAAAATCGAATCCAGCCAACAAGTTGTCAGCCTGACCAACATCAAGCATGTATTGGAATTTATAAGACTATATTTTCATCGCACTCATATGGGACAGCCGTTTTATAAACCAGTTGTATGTACTCAATTTTTCTAATACTTCTGCCAAATAAGTTCTTCAAACTGGTCAACAAATATATAAATTTATATAGAGAATTTCATTTTAGAGTAAAACGGCAATTAGCCGAAAAACATGCTACCATTGGTCACAACTTGAGGGTATTAACTCGTATAAACAGTCATCTGATATTTCTGGTTGAGATAAATGGTAGAAGGTAGATTGCATTGATCTTTGGAATACCAAACAAAAAATCA